CGTCTAGAAGTAGTAGTAGTAGTAGTAGTAGTAGTAGTAGTAGTAGCAGTAGTAGTAGTAGTAGTAGTAGTAGTAGTAGTAGTAGTAGTAGTAGTAGTAGTAGTAGTAGTAGTAGTTAGTAGTAGTAGTAGTAGTAGTAGTAGTAGTAGTAGTAGTAGTAGTAGTAGTAGTAGTAGTAGTAGTAGTAGTAGTAGTAGTACTAGTAGTCAGTAGGGTAACAGCAGCAAGTAGCAGCAACAGGCAGTAGCACGTGGCAGCAGCAGTAGCAGCAGCAGCAGTAGCAGTAGCAGTCGCGGTAGCGGTAGCGGTATCGGTCGCAATTTAGATTAGTCGTAGACAGTCTGTCCTACCAGTAGGTAGTAGTATCAGTCGTAGACTTCCAGTCCTAATTTAGCCTGCCCCACCCAGACGAGAAGTGCCTATTGCCAATAGACACTTCTCGTCTAGTTCGCTACAGTGCAACGCCGAGTCTGACAACCGAGCGACAATCAGACGAAGCTGCTGCCGTCAAACTGCGAGGACTGCTTGCTTATTTAATTATTATAATAATTATTATTATTTTCACCTAGGGAGCACAACCACGCCCAGACGAGAAGTGTCTATTGGCAATAGGCACTTCTCGTCTGGGTGGGGCCGGTTTTAAATTATTACATAAATAGCCATAATAATAATTTAATAATGACTAGTGTCCTCAATGTCTGACGGCGCTCGCGTGAAAAGGCAACTTCGGAAAGCCTCTCACTCCAGTGTCGCCTGCGACAGGAATTTACAGGAATTCAAAACTGCATGCGAGACTGGCTGTCTTACGCAGAGTATACTACTGTCTGACACTGAAACTGGCAGGCATGAACGACTGGCTCCACTTGCAATCCGGAATTTTCAATACGCTGATTCTGCAGAATCAGAGTCGGACTGGCCACGGTTCTGTCTGACACGCAGCCGTCGAGGTCTGACATCAGACTTCAGACTCACACTTCAGAAATTTAAATCGCGTCGCATTGGAATGCAACTGCTGTCAGACAATCAAAACTTGACTGGACAAGTCTGACGCGGTCTTACTCAGCCGTACCCTTCTGGAAGAATTTCAAATGGGTCAAAATCGGCAAAAAGGCCTTGATCAGCATTGGAGCCCTCATGCCATTGCCGCACAAGTCGCGAAGCTCTGACAAGGTCAAGCAGTCGGCATTCATGTCTGACTTACCAAAGCCCAGTGCCACCATGTAGTCTGACTTCGTCATGAAACCCTTCTTGGCAAAGTTGTACCACATTGCACCCGTCGTCAAAACGTTCAAGCAACCGTCTGACCTGTAGTGTCCCCTGTCCACGGTCTGACTCAAGTCTGCCAGGGGGTCTGACTTTCCGATGCCTGCCCCTTCCAGCATCATCTCATACACGTCTGCTTGTGCCCTGTACCAGGGCGCCATGTGCTTGAGAGTCTGACTGGCTCGCTGTTCCACCGGCTTTGGCTTGTCTGACTCCAGCAATCTTTTTGCCGCGACTGCTTTCCTTGGACAGAGACGGCCCGCAAACTGACAGCGGCAGTATTAAGTCTTACTCAGTCTTACTCAACATAAAATGAAAAAAACTCCTCCACACCAAGACTCTGACATGCTTCTGCGAAGCAGCGATGGTAGTCGACATCGTTCTTGAGATTCACCAAGTACGTCGACGGCCCCTTCTCTGACCAAGAGAAGTTTGTAGCAGCATCATGGCGGAAGAACTTGCTGCAGATGTCGTTGAGCTCGGTGGTCTGACTAGCCCAGCCCAAAGCAGAAAAAGTGGGGACTGACGAACCCAGCAGCAGCAAACGTGAGCGAGCCTCCGACATTGGCAAGGCATCCACAATCACGCTCTGGTGCGTAAACTCAGGGAGGTTGTCTGACAAGTAACGCTCATACCAAGCCTTGGGCGACTCTGTCTGACCAGATCCGCGAGTCTTACAGGCCCCCAACACATTCTCGAAGAGATAGAACTTGGGCGAGTACTTCTTGACAAACTCAACACTCTGCACGAACGTCTGACACTCGGGCTTCTCCAGGTCGATCGGGTCTGACTCCCAGCGCCTGCTGTTCGCTGCACTGTTCAGCTTGCAGCTGAAACCCGACACGAAGAGGTCGAGATTCTTGAGATGCTCGTCTGACAAAGTGCAGCAACGATTGTGAACCCAGCATGGGCCCTTCCCTCTGACGGTGTGCGCGATGTCGGTCATGAGGTGGTCGAAGTGCATTGTCTGACCACGCTGTTTCAGCAGGAACAGCGCCGCCGGAGTCTTTATCTCTGACCCAGTAATGCATCGTGTCTGACATTGTGTGAGGTTGTTCAAGACGTAGTGTGGCAAGCCGGTGCCGTCGCAACCACTTGCCACCATCAGCTTGGGTGGCTTGTCTGACGAGAAATAATGGCCTGACTTCTCCATCAAGTGTTCAAGAAAATAGTCGAACTGCCAGGCCTCTCCCGTCAGAGTCTCCTCCTCTATCTCTTGGCGAGGTGTCTGACGCTCAGGCTTGACCTTAGCCTTCGCAGCAGCCGGTCGTTTCAACGACGCCGATCCCGCACGCTTCGTCGTCGGCATGCCGGACGCAGGCAAGAGACTCTGAGTAGTGGGCAATGTCTGACACTTGAACCCAAGTGTCAAGCCAACAACATTCGTTCAGAATCTACAGCGATGAAACTCTCCTGCCAGAACTGCGGATTATAACAGCACTCTGGCCTGTGAAGCTCCTCTTGCTCCGGCGAGCCCTCGGAGGATCTGACAGCACCTGGCAATTGACAATCGGCAACACAACTACTCAGTCAGACCTGAACTTACTTGGCAACACGGGTGACTACACTCGCAGCTGGCCTCCACAGCTCAGCTCGCAATCATGGTCGGCCATACAAGTCGTATAGCCCACCACAGTTGCGAGTTGGCCGAACGTGCTGGTGATCGTGGATCCGCTGCCTGTGTCGGACACGCTGTGACTTTGTCCCCTCGACCCCGTGCACTACGCTCGACGGACTGCTGGCACATGTCTGACTAGCAGCTAGGCATTCAAAGATTCGGGGCCACTGCCAATCGAACTGACGGCGGGCTCCGTGGCTCACCCAGATTGGGGCCAAGTCTGACCGTGGCTCACCCAGATTGGGGCCCGTGGCTCACCCAGATTGGGGCCAAGTCTGACCATGGCTCACCCAGATTGGGGCCAAGTCTGACCATGGCTCACCCAGATTGGGGCCAAGTCTGACCATGGCTCACCCAAATTGGGGCCAAGGTCTGACCGTGGCTCACCCAAATTGGGGCCAAGGTTCGCCGCACTGACCATGGCTCACCCAGTTTGCTGCTGGGGCCAAGGTTGGTCGAACAAACCGTGGCTCGCCCAGATAGTTCTAATAATTTAATTTAATATTATTTCTGAATCTGAACCAGCTTGCCAACAAAAGACTGTCAAGTTACTGGCAGAATCTGACACCAGGCCTCCCATGCAGGTGCTGACTCTGACCCAGTGTCCCCCGAGATTGCCCCGGGGTGGTATGTGAAGCTATCTCCGCCCCAGCAGATGCATTAGCGTATAAAACTCTGCTGTCATACACCTGGTGCTGGTGTGTTGGCCTCAAGGCGGCGACCACTCGACCAACGTCAAGTCATGAAGACTCTGACGGACAGCAATGAGTCAGCGAAGCCTCACACCCGGCCAACGGTGTGTAGGGAACACTAACAGCACCTGTTCCCCAGCGGTAAGGCCAATCTGACGTGATTCATTCAATGCCGGAAACGACGGGAAGGCCGTGCACAGATGACTGAGCCTCCCAGGTTCAATGTCTTACTAAGACACGCCTTTACCTGAGATTCCCCAGGTGCTGGCCACCACAATGCCCCAACAGGCGCGTTAGCGCTTAGCCCTGTTGTCATACGCCTGGCGCCGGCGTGATGGCCAGAAGGCACTGACTGGTGGCTGGGCAGCATGCCACTCGCCCCACACCCGGCCAGCGGTGTGGAGGGAACACTCTAAAGCGCCGATGTTCCCTCTTGGTAAGGCAAACCAGGACCAAAACCATCAGTCAAACAGCAGCACGCTGACAATGCCAACGCAGCAATTGGACAATGATGACTGACACATGCCATGGACTGCTAGTAACGCCTCCTTTCGTCGTGGTCTGACAACGGCTCGCCAACTATTTAATGTCAGAGTCCTGTGACCAATGCGACAGAACATGCAAGCATGGCCACAGAACTTATGCTCGAACTTCTGACTCATGCGGCGACCACTCAACCAATGTCAATGTCATTGACTCTGACGGACAATAAGCGTAGGAAACACTGAAGCACCGGCCAATCTGACTGACTTGCAAGCCAACTCATGTCGTGGAATGCAAATGGCAAGGAAACGACGGGAAGGACGTGCACAGATGACTGATAGCCTCCCATAATGTCACATGCAGCCTGTCCCTGAGATTCCCCAGGTCCTGGCCACACTGCCACAGTGCCCCAACAGGCACATTAGCGCTTAGCCCTGTTGTCATACGCCTGGCGCCGGCGCGATGGCCAAAAGGCACTACTGACTGGCGGCCAGGCACCATGCCACTCGCCCCACACCCGGCCAGCGGTGTGGAGGGAACACTCTACAGCGCCATGTTCCCTCTTGGTAAGGCCACTGGGCAAACCAAACAAAAACCATCAGTCAAACAATAGCATGCTGACAATGCCAACGCAGCAAATGACTGACAGTCACCATGCCTGGACTGCTACAGTAACAGTATGGCCTCCTCTGGTCGTGGTCTGACACCGGCTCGCCAGATAATTTTGTCCTGTCAAGGCAGTTCGTCTAGTGACCAATGCAAAGGAACATGCAGGCATGACCACAGAACTTACGCTTGAACGTCTTTTTACTGCAATGCAAGTGAAGTCATACACAACGGGCCGTCGTCTTACCGACCCACAGCCAGGGCCAAAACAGTCTGACAGGTTCAGACAAAGCCCGGGGATGGTCTGTCTGTCTGACCACTCTTAAAAAAGGTCTGGCCTAAGATGCAGACAGACCAAAGTTGAGGCCGGCCAGCAGCAGCATGATCGCTGCTTTGGGCACAGAAGCCATGGCCGCCAGCGTCTGACATGCAAAGAAATGGTTGCAAAGACTTAAGTCGAACGTGCACCCATGCAAACGAGAGGTCTCGGCAAGAGTCAACTCTGCGACGTCTGCATCCGTCTTACATAGCATGTTCGAATTTGCAGTCAGATGCGAGGCCACCACCTCGAACTGCGGGTCCAACACCTTGAACCTCTTAGTCTTGCGACCTCCATCCAGGAAGACCGAAGTCGGTCGGTCTAACGCCCCCTTGAGGATGTTCCTGGTGTCACACGTGCTTCGTGGGTATTTTCCAGCCTCCGCACCTGCTATCCGACATCTGCGAAGAAAAGGTCTTAGTCAGTGCTACATAATTATTACACCTGCTGCACATTAAAATTAAAAAGAACCAACCCCGCCTTTCTTAGCAGCAAGCTGCATGGCTTGCTCTGACTATATGTTGGCGCCTCCAGTGGCGAGATAAGTCCCGAGGTCATGCTCCAACTGCTCCAGGACTTGACGATACTTGGTCTTTGTCTCGGAAGCAACGGTCTCACCAGAGCTGGAGAACCTCAATCACGCAACATGTTGTCCATTACAACAACGACGACGACTGTCAAAATTAAACATGCAACCGAGCCACATGAGGATGAAACAACTTCGGTCTGACTGCTGCGATGGATGTCCTTGGAACTCCTCGGCCAATTGACATCTCTTACCGTTGCCAGTAATTAAGTCAGACTCTTCGGTCTCCAAAACGAGCCGGAAATAAGCTGCTTTGCTGGCATGCAAGTCAACGTGGAGGACGACAGTGGAGACTTTCTCTGACACCTTCTGGATCTTCGCCAGGTGTTTGTTGAAGTCTTTGTCTGACTTCCAAACCACGTGTGCCAGGAGCATTCGCCTAGCCACATCCGCTGCGTCTGACGAAAGCTTGCTAGCAGCATTGAAAGTCATACCAGCTGGAAAATGCTTGTTGCACCGCATGCGAAGTTCCTGATCCTCGCGGCTAGCCACCAACATCTTACACTTAACCTTTGCCCTCACGAAAGCACTACTTGTCAGACAGTGGAATACCGCTGGATGCTGGTAAGTCAGAACGTCGATGTCTGCCGCAGCCTGGCCCAATCTGTCACTGTAGCCGGAAAGATTCATGGCGGTTTGCTGGCTTTGACTGGCTGAGAATTACAGAAAAATAATTAAATATTATAGTAGGCCAAGAACTAGAATCGCTGATCTGACTGGCAATAGCTGTGTCTGTGTTCCTCCGGTGTCTGACTGTAATCCAAAACTGATAATTAATCCCAGGCATTGTCCCGGTGTCAACAGCGCACTGTCAGCGAGCATCACTACAATCACTCTGACGGGCACATTTTTCCTCGAACCTCAGAGTCATGTGTCGGCAGCTTGGTGTCCTGACTCTAGGCTGGCCCATGCCCCATGGGAGTCGAATCTAAACTGCAAATCTACTACTCATATTATTGCTCATGATTCTGATTCTAAAATAAAATTAATTATAGTTTAACTTGGTCTTACTTTTAATAGTTAAATTTAAACAGATTCAACAACCCAGGGCCAGCCCCTGTGTCTGACGAATGGAACGAGTCATAACGATCGACAGACTCAGTCGAGTCGACCTTGAACCAAGACCTCTCTCTGACGTCTACATCCAAAATTAAAATCATCTGACGGAAGCGTGGTGAATCACACCTCCGGGTCGCTGTCTGACGCATTGCTCCTGCTGTCATTGCTCTGCAGGTCACTCATCTGACGCTTTCGCTTCAGCGTCGGCCGTGGCTCTGGCTGCTCCGTCTGACTTTCCTGCAGCTCGTTCGTCTGACTGTTGCTGCCGTCGATGCGGCCATCTCCATTGGAGCTGTGGCCTCCATCCAAGGATCTGACGCGGCTGAGCACACGACGTGTGAAGCCATTGTTCACACCTCTGACGACCTCCAGCATGATCTGAAATGTCAGTGTCTGACGCAAGGCGTCTGACTGCGAGGGCAAGCAAAACGCCACGTATGGAACCCTCTCTCTGACGGCTTGCAGCGCTGCCATCCCCGGTCCCGGTGTGAAATCCACAATCCGGTAGGTGCCCGGGCGTCTGACTCCATACAGGTTGAACATCTCGGCCCAGAAGAGTTCTGACGGGGACCATGCGAACCACTGGCAGCAACGATCATCCGTGTTGGCGCCGTCGGGAAGGGGCTCTGACCCTTGGCTATCCTGCTGCTCGCCTGGCATATGATCTGACGGATCAGGAACTTCTCCGTCACTGTCTGGCTGTGAGGCTGCTTTGTCTGACGACGAGGAAGCAGCACCCACCTTCTTCATCATCTGACTGAGCACGTCCCTTTTGACCATAATGTTGGCCTCTGACTGCGTGCGGATGCTCAAGCCCTGCAAGCTTCTGGTGTAGTTGCTGCCTGGGAGGTCCAACCATTTCCTTTCACGCGTCTCCATCGTACATTTTGTCTTACCGAAGACAAACATGTTCTCCACAGGGTCCGGCAATGCAATTCTGCTCGTGATTTTGCCCATGGAGCCATTCTTTCTGACGTAACCATCCTTGGTAAACTCGTTGTTGTGGTAGCAGAGTCTGACCGGTACGGCGAGTGGCTTCTTCGGGTAGTCCGACATGGGGCACATCTTCAGGATTTGTCTGACCTTGTCTCAAATATGATATGAAGACTAAACCTTTAATATTCAATGGTTCATTCAGAATCCTGTTTCACCTATCTTGTGCAAGTCAAGACGCGATGCGACCCATCTTGTTGAAGTTGCTCGACCTGCGGGCATCCTTCAGGAACAAGAGGTCATTCTTGCGGAAGAATGTATCTGTCGCTGAAGGATCACCCTCTGGCGCCAACAGTGACGTCAGCACGCTCTGGTAATGACTTTCGTCCAGTGGAGGAAGCAGTCGATAGGTCTTACCAGACAATGCAGCCCTGTCGTACCGGCACGTTGCATCATAGATGTACAGTACCCTGTCAACCTTCCCCCCGGACTGGGCCAGGGCCTCTTTCCACTTGCTGTTGTCTGGCTCCTCAATGAACGTAGCGTACTGTGTCAGACCTGAGAGGCCGGTGGTCTGACACACAAAATTGCAATAATAATGGGTTCATGACCTGACTGACTGAAGCCTCAGGGTTTCTTAAAAGTAAGAACCTGACGAGAGCTGGCAACGGAATACATGTTCTGCACGGCATCTGGCGAGACGTTGTGGAAGCTGTCTAACGCCAGACTGGGCAGAGTCAGTGAAGGAAAAAGATCTGACTCCAACATCTGACGAACCATTTCGTTTTCCTTGCTGATCACCTGCTCGTCCTCATTCTCCGCGAGAAGCTCGTCCACTACGGGCTTTTCGACAGAATGATCTGACGTAAGATGCTGTCCCAGAACCAGGGTGGCCTGCGAGTCATTGCCATCGTCCACAACACTCTCCGAGGCTGCGGTCTGACTGTCCTGCTCGCCAGCTGCCGGCGTCGTACTCGGTGGCGGTGGCGGTGCGGTCTCCTCCTCGTGCAGCTGGAGAATCTTGTCCAAGTCAAACAAATCCTTGCTGGCGGTTGTAAACAGGAAATTTGTTTTAAAAGTGAAAACCCACACTTGCTTCTTTGTCAAAACTCTGGGTCCTCGGAGGCGAAGTCTGACGATGCCAGAATACCTTCTGCTGACATGTTCGAGTCTCTGGAAAGGCATTTCAGGAGAATGTGGTCCGCGTTCCCGTCATACAGCATGTGGAGACCTGGTGTCTAACAGTAACACCAAATCAAATCAGCACGCAAATGAAGCTATGGCGGGCATGCCGAATCAGACAAGCTACCCGTGGCTGCCGCTCGCTCTGACGGTCTGACGAACTTCTCCGTAAACGCTGTGACCTCTGGCGTGTTGCCGCCAGCAAGCTCCATGAACTTGCCACGAGGGAACATGATATGGAAGTCTGACCAGTCGCCAAAAACCGTTCCGATGTTCTTACATTGGATCTTCCAGGCCACATAATGGGAGATCCGACGCAAGGCCAGGAAACACGGGATGACCTTGTGGCGGATGTCCTCCCTGACGTTTTGTGCCAACGTGCCCCTGAGCAGTCTGACATGAATCCCAGCCACAACGAAGTTCAGCAGCTTGTCTTGCAGCGGAAGGTTCTTGGGGCATGATGTCTTACCGCAGAGGGTGTCGAGCGCGGCCCATTTGGCCAAGGGGTGTGTCTTACCGAAAGCGTACTCCAAGCCGTCCAAATGGTTGATTGCCACTTCAGTCATACGTTTCACGATCTTCAAGTGGCACTCCACGGTCTTCTGACCGATGGTCTCCTCCGCGAAGTTGATCTTGGAGAACCAAGCCGCAACGTCTGACGATGTATGCGGCTTGTTCTGACGCTTCAGTGATTCTGACACCTGGTGAGTTTGAAGGCACTCCTTGTAGCCAAAAAGCTGGGCCGTCAGAGCGTCCGACTTGATGTTCTCCTCAAGCTGTCGCCGGAGCCTTGTCTGACAGGAACCCAAGGCACACCGAACCACACTGGGGGACTGCAAAACTCGACTCTGGTTTGCAGCCCGGATGCACACCAAACTCGTCGTCTGACACGACCAGCTGGAAAGTAACGGCTACAGAGCAGCTGGCTTCCTCGAACCTCTTGACCACATCCATGGCTTTGGTCTCACGTGCTTGCGCGAACCCCATGAGCCAGCCCATCCTGAAGACGCTCTTGTCGGCGACTTCCCATGTCCCCGCCTCGGGAGGCGAAGTCTTACTGGTAGCACGGATCCTGAGTTGATTCCATGCTGACGCGTCTGGCCGTGCCTTCTTGGTACACACAGCCGGGATGAAACTTAAAATTAATCCATGCAAGATTCGTAGTGGCATGCTGCGGCTGGCAAATCTTATCCGTCAGGAGACCATCTGACGTACAGAAGTGGTGCTTGTAACTTCTGACAATACTTCCGTAGTTTGGCCAGACATCTGACTCGAATGCCTCAGCTGACATGAATAGAACAGGGACCAGTGAACTGAGCGATCAGTCTATGGACTGCGACGCTGTCTGACTGCCTCAGGCTGGTGCCACCAAACCGAGCCAGTGCAAGGGCACCACACACGTGTACTTGCCTTTGTCTGACATCTCCTGAGCGTAGTTGGCGCAGTCAAACGCCTGGATGCCAGCGTAGGCAATGGGTCTGACATCGGACTTCTCCATCTCCTCGACATAGTCCAGAAGAGGTGCCAGGATGTCTGCCGCCACACGCCTGTGATTGTGCACCGGCGAGGTGCTCATGCTTGACACCGTCGCCGCTGCTTTCTGAGACGGTGTCTGACAAGCTTCCTGCTGAGTCTTACAGTCAGCTGGCTTCTCCGCAGCCTTGGCCTGAGCTGCCTTCGGCTGAGCTGCCTTCGGCTGAGCTGCCTTCGGCTGAGCTGCCTTCGGCTGAGCCCCCTTCGTCTTCGGCTTAGGAGCCATGGGGTCTGACAAACAGCGTCGCTTGATCGTCAATCTGACAGCTGCAGCAGCAAACTAAATGCCCCGTGAGCTCGTGAACCGTAAATGGTCCTACACGCAAGCTAAAGACTGCAAAGCCAGTCCTGGTTGTCCGACCAAAGTCCGCCATATGTTCCTGTAGGCACCTGTGACAAAAGCACAAGTTCCCAAAAGCATGTCATTGTCAGATTAAGATGCAACACCAAACGACGGGACGCTAGTTAGGCCTCCGGCGTCAGGCGCCCCAACTTGTGTCCGCAGCGTGCTGAGGACGCTAGTTGGGCCTCTGCAGGGCCAAATGTCCCAACATGGCAAAGTGTGTCCAGGGTCGCAATGGTCTGGGAGGGGGTTTAAGAGGCCCAACTTGTGTCCGCAGCGTGCTGAGGACGCTAGTTGGGCTTGCGGAATCGGAAGGCCCAACTTGTGTCCCACGCAATCATTTTCATCGCACACGATGACGGTCTGACCATCCAAAATCTGTGCATTAACACTCTTGCTGACTTGCTTCTGCCAGCATGCCTGCCGCACCATTTCTGATCTGACATAACAAAATTGAATTTGGTGCACTGATGGTCAGACTCAGCGTCAGCCTTTCACTCACATCAGGGCGAGCTCCATGTGAAATTTACAAAGCGTGTCTGACTTTGAGTTCGCTTGCAAAGCACACTTCCTCTGAAAT